GGGGCTCCAATCACCTCATGGGCTCTGAGGTCCTTTGTTGGACCTGCACCAGTGTGACTGTGCCTCCCTTATACTGGACAACTGCTTTTGTGGCACTGATTTCTCAGCACTGCAGAGCAGAGGATAGGGGTCACATTCCACAAACAAACCCCTTCCTAATGCAGCCTTGGATGTTGTCAGGTGCCAGTTCCACGAAGGCCCAGGCCCTGCCGGACCCCCTTTCTGTACTGCAAAGCTCTTTGGCTGCCTCACAGCCCCAGACTGTGGGGGGCAGGAGTTTCTCCCTCCAGCCTTGCAGGACTTTGCACAAAGGGGTTAAACAGTGCTGGCCCCAGTGCCCCGTGGTGCACCTGCCAGCTGCACTTCATCACATTCATCAGAACCCTTGGAGACCTGCAGCCAAGCCAGATTTCAGTCATGGTCTTCTAGAAGTCAGGATGCCAATTTTCCTTCTCCCAGTCCTCAGCTGCATTCCCTGACTACTGGCACCTCCCAAAGAGGCCTCAGAGGTGCTTTTTTTGACACCAACACTCATGTGCTCATCACCTGGTCACACATATTGGTGTTTAAATGTTCCCACAGGTGATCCTCCTCGTCTGCTATGGGGAGGTTTTCCCTACCCCTATTTCTGAGAAATATCAGGAGGTTGATCCTGTGACACTAAAATGAAGCCTTGAAGAACCTTCTCCTTTCCTGTATCCCCTGTCCCCAGTGAAGCTGCCCCAGTCAGCCTTGGCTCAAGTCTCCCTTTTGCTGTTGACCTGTGTGGATGATCTTCTTCTTTCCCACCACAAGCTTTCCTGATTCAGCTCCAGGTGGGCTTTGGCTTTCCAGCCCCAGCCCTGGAACACTCAGCCTGGCAAAAAATCTGCATCAAGAGGAAGGGAGGGGAAAGCATTTCCCTGGGGAAGCAGTGTCCAGTGGCTGCTGGAGTGAGGTGAGAGGGAGGAGAGAGCAGCAGGCAGGACGTGCTGCGAGGAGAGGAGCCTTTGGGTGCTCTGCTGCTCTTTGAGGCAGGACAGAGCTGGGGCTGTCCCTGCAGCTGCCAACAGTGGCAAGGCACTGCCCGAGCCAACATCCCCTGCCTGCACGGGACCCTCGGGCATGGGGGCACATCCTGTGCCTGCACGGACACGCTCTGATCCCAGCTGTGCCCAGGCCTTGTGTGGCACACGTGTAAGGAGCTGCAGCACAGACCAAGCATGTCAGAAATGAGGAAATGAAATGGCAGCCTTGATGGAAATCAAACCACAACATGTGGCGTTAGGGTGGATATTTTTCTTTGGAGGTGAATGTGTGGGAAAATTACTGTCCTTGTGCAGTGCCTGTGGGCCTGGGGCAAAGCAGGAGCAGTATAAAAGGGGATCTTCTCCTTGCTCCCTCATTCACTCCTCTCACCTCCATCTCCTTGGGATCAAGGTGAGTCTGAAATCCTTTCTTTTATTCTTCCTTTCTGACCCTATCCACCCTGTGGTCCCATGTAGGTTATTGAGAACGGCTTGTTATGGGAGATGGAAAGGACAGAAATTGTTCATGGAAGGAGGTTGGGTTTTGTCTGAACTGTCTCCTGAGCTGTGGAAGAGCCTAGGGCTTGGTCACTCTTAGGGGGATTTCTTACGGCTGAGTAGGAAGTGAGGCTGTTGGGCCTTTCTTAACAACATTGTGCAATTTTTTACTTCTGGCTTTTCTCCAGATGATGGACAAACAGAGTTCCCTCACTCAGCCCTCTGCTCTGCTTCTCTTCTCCCTGTCTCTCAGGTGCATCTGCAGCCCCCAGCCATGTCCTGCTACAGCCCGTGCCGGCCCTGCCAGCCCTGCGGCCCCACCCCGCTGGCCAACAGCTGCAATGAGCCCTGTGTCAGGCAGTGCCAGGACTCCCACGTGGCCATCCAGCCCTCGCCCGTGGTGGTGACCCTGCCCGGGCCCATCCTCAGCTCCTTCCCACAGAACACCGCCGTGGGATCCTCCACCTCTGCTGCTGTTGGCAGCATCCTCAGCTCTCAGGGAGTGCCCATCAGCTCTGGGGGCTTTAGCCTCTCTGGCCTGGGCAGTGGCCTCTGTGGCATCAGGGGCCTCCCCTGCTGAAGCTGCTGGCACTGGCCCTGGGGAAGGAACCCAGGGACTCCCAGGACGGTAGTAGCCCAGGGATAGAGCATCAGTGCTCTATCTTCCACTCAGAGTGATTTCTTTCTCACCTTTTGACTCATTAAAGCTCTGCTGCATCCCAGCCCATGTCTCTGTGTCATCCTTTCCCCTGCACATACTCACCCAACATGTCCAACAAGAGAGGTGCTGCTGTGTGGTTCTGGGAGGGCATTGTTGAAAGCGGTGTTGCCATGGTTGTCAACATCACATTCATTATGTTAACACAGCATTGATTATTCATATTGTGTCACCTTTCTAATTTACCCTGCCTCTCTCTATCTGCAAGAATTACCCCACACAGTTCAATGACCACAGATATTCCAAAAATACTTTTAGTTCTCCCAAACAAAGAAACAAAGCTTTCAAGATTTCTCTGTTGTCAGGAAACCTGCATCCACAACCTCTCATCCACAAGTAAATGTCCCACCTCATTCACCACCCTGGTCAATCTTCATGCATTTCACTTCCCTTTCTGGAGATCTTTTTGTGTTACAGTCCAGTAGGCAGCACAGCATGTTTGATGCCATCTGGGGAGTGCTGAGCAGAGTGGGATCTTTGCTGCCATTGATATCCTGTTGACAGTTGTGCTCTGAGAGCCCAGGATGTTGATGACAATCCTTGGTGTCCAGGAACACTCCTGGCAGTTCCACCTGTTTTGATGGTGTTAACCACAAAAGCACCTCATTCTTTTCAGAGACTGAAGTGTGGGGATTGACAGACACGGATTCTGCTAATGCCAGCAGAGCATAGCCAGTTTATTATACAAGTTCACCAGTATTTATAGGTCACTACATTTGTACAAAATTTTCCACTCAGACCCCTTTATCCCAGTCCCTTTAGAAACACAATCTTCTTGATTATCATTCTTATACTAGTACTATCCTTGTTACCTCCTTCACCAGCAAATTCCTTGTTACATCTTCCCTCGTCAGAGCGGTCAGCGTCAGAGGGTCAGAGGGACCAGACATGATGTCTTCACTTCTGTTCTTGCCTTGAGTTTCTCTCCCCCTCAGCTTTCACTGTACCAAGGCCAAAAGGTCGGTGGCACTACCCATCACAGCTTATGTAACTGTCTGATCTTCCACACTGAACGATGTGACAGGGTTGGCTGCTACAAAGCAAACTTAATGGAAGGGGCTGACAGCTGGTCTGTTAGCCAGAAAGAGTTAGTTGAAGAAGAGAAGCTGGTAAGAGTTGCCTTTGCCCCTGAAAGGAGTTCTACCAAGGTTGTTGACATGGAAACCAAGGAGAAGAAAAGATAAGCAGGAGGCCTTATAGTTGCATGTTGGTGGAAAACAGTGGTGGAGACTGCTCTGGACCAATGAACATTATGTTGATTTATTGTAGCCAATAATAGGTAAAAACTTTGTGAGAAGGTATAAAAGACAGGATGCTGTTAAAATAAACAGTGAGAAGCCTTCTGAAGTGCATGGTGTTCTTCTGTGTGTGGTGACTGTCTCAACAGCGAGTACTTCAAATCTGGACCCTCTGAGGATATGTGTCATCATGCCCACCTGCGTCCTGCAGCAGTTCAGCCATTCCCCTCCCTCAGCTGCTTCTGCACAGCCCTTTGAGACCCTCAGCCCATACCTGATGCCTCTCCCTGCCTCCCTCTCCCCAGAAACTCTCCCAGGAAAGCTGCAATCTGGAAATCCACAATATCAGAACAGCCTGAAAGAAGAAAGGACTGAAAACAGGCATGGGGACACTGGAGATTGAAAACTGGACATGAGTCAGCAATGTGTGTTTGCAACTCAGAAATTCCATCAGGCTGCACAAACAGAAACATAGCCAGCAGGTAAAAGGAGGGGAGTCTCCACTTCATATATGATCTTCTTAAACCTCACCTGGAACCCTGAATCCAGGCAGGATTCTTCAATTCAAAGCAGGCATGGACCTGCTAGAGCAGCTCCAGACAAGGGCTGCAGAAATGATCACACAGATGCATTTCCCCTACCATAAAGAAAGGCTGAGGGACCTAAGGATTTTCAGGCAGGAGAAGAACAGGCTCTGGGGAGACCATTTGATATGTAAAGAGGATGAATGAAGAACGTGGAGAGAGATGTTTTCTCAAGGACTGCAATAATTGAACAAAGAGCAAGAGTTTTAAACTGAATAATAAATAAATATAGAAGGGACATAAAGAAAAATTTAACGGTGATGAGTGTGATGAGTGTGATAACAGACTGGGAAATGTAGCCTAGATAATGATGGGGTGTTCCATCTTGGGAAGGGTTCAAGCTCAGGTTTGCTCCAACCTTATGTGATGCAGTGAAGGATATCCATATCCATGGCAACAGGGTTGGACTAGATAAACCTTAGTGGTCTCTTCCACCCAGACCCATTCTGTGATCCCATGATAACAGGGGTCTGTGAGAAGGCAGCCAAATGCACTCTGCCCCTCCCTCTGAGAACATCCTGTGTTAGGATGAGATCTACTGGAGTCTGATGGGAATCCAGTACCTCTGACAGGACAGTAACATGCTCTCTCCTGAGTACTTGTGTCACAGTGTTGAGCTGAGAAAGGAAAAGAAGTGCAAACAAAGTGGATGTATACCTCTGGAAAATGTAGGGAAATTCTACCCTGACCCAAAGAGGCAGAGAAACTCAGAACCCAGAGGGCCACTCAGTGCACACTGAGCACTCCCAATGCCAGCCTGTGCTGACAGCCAGTGCAAAACCAGCCCCAACAACACCCTCCCAGAAACACCCCTGGGACAACAGCTCTGCCTTGGGAGAGTGTCTGCAGGGCAAGGGATGACACAGAGGCACAGGCTGGGATGCAGCAGAATTTAATGAGTCAAAAGAGGGAGAAGAGGGGAATCCGGGTGGAGGCCACAGGGCAGGGAGCAGCTTCAGCAGGGGAAGCCCCTGGTGCCACAGAGGCCACTGCCCAGGCCAGAGAGGCTAAAGCCCCCAGAGCTGATGGGCACTCCCTGAGAGCTGAGGATGCTGCCAACAGCAGCAGAGGTGGAGGATCCCACGGCGGTGTTCTGTGGGAAGGAGCTGAGGATGGGCCCGGGCAGGGTCACCAGCACGGCTGGGGGCTGGATGGCCACGGTGGAGTCCTGGCACTGCCTGACACAGGGCTCATTGCAGCTGTTGGCCAGCGGGGTGGGGCCGCAGGGCTGGCAGGGCCGGCACGGGCTGTAGCAGGACATGGCTGGGGGCTGCAGATTCACCTGGCAAAGGGGGAAGAGAGGAGCAGACCGTAAGGGCAGTTTGAAGAGCAGCCTCACCCCACCGCGAGGGAGATCCTTTCTCTCAGCCCCTATGAGCATCACCAAGAAGGCCAAAGCCAGGGACAATCTCTCCCAACCCACAGCTCAGGAGACACCTCCTTCTATATTCAGCCTTCTCCATGACACATCTGCCCTCTCCCATGGTAAGCAGACTCAAAACACAGCAGGGAACAAGGACAGAGATATATGATCAGAAATCCCAGAGAATTACAAGGTAGAACACAAAGGGAAGGAGAAAGGGCAGAAGGAGAACCCAGAGAAAGACAAGAAAGGGCTCAAAACTCACCTTGTTCTCAACAAGATGGAGCTGAAGGAGTGGATGTGAGAGTGAGCAGAAGGTCCTGCTTTTATACTGCTCCTGCACCAGCCCAGGCCCACAGGCACTGCACAGGGGCAGTAATTTTCCTACAGACTCATCTCCAAAGCAGACTGTCCTCCCAAATGCCCCGGGTTGTCTTTTGGTTTCTGTCAACACTGCCATTTCGTTTCCCCATTGCTAACATGGCCATTAGGCCACAGAGGATCTTTTGAAGTGTTGGGATGAGAGGCCTGAGGCTTTCCCAAGCACCATCACGTCAGTACAGGCAGAAGATGTGCCCCCATGTGCTCGAGAGCTCTGTGCAAGCACGGCATGTGGCTGTGGGCAAATATGTGGGGAGTGTTTTGACAAACACCTGTGAGGAAACATGGTTGTGTCTCCCCACCAAAGCAATCCCCTCCTGAGTACCTGAAGTCTTCCCTCAATGTGCGTATGCTGCATCCCTCTCCCTCCCTGCTGCCTCCCTGCTCAGGCCCCAACTCACTGGGCATTGCCTCTCTAGGCAGGTTTGGTACATTCCCGGTTTCAAATGGCTTTGCCCAAGGAAATCTTCTCCTTCAGGAAAGAGATTTCCTGGTTTACTTGGCAGAGTTGTCTCCTCTCACTGCCATCTCTGGGGGATCCCGGCCTGTCCTGTCAGCAGGCCTGTGGAAGGGGATTGCCGCCCTCCCTAATCCTTTGATTCCTGGAGAAGCCCTTTAGCGTTGGACCCCACTGTCTTCTCTGTCAGTGGGGTCTGTTGGCTTTTGGGATATTACCTTGTTCCTCTCTCTCGCCTCAACCCACAATGCAATTTCCTGCACATTTTGTACTATAATCTGCAGGACACACAAGCATGGGCCGCATTTTCAATACACATTGTCAGTCCTGCAATCATCCCTGACCTGTGAAAGAGCTGCCATCATCCCTTTTCCCTGTGCCAGGATGGAGCTGCCCTTGCTGGTGGGGATTCAGCCATGCCTTGGACAGGCCTGCAGACACCACACCCTCCTGGCTTGGTCTCACACCAAAAGGCTGACACACAGCCACTTAAGGAGAAGGCGTTCGAGTGCCTTTTAAGACAGGAGAGTTAAATCTACTTTAACATGGTATTGCTATTTTCTATCCTTCTTGATACATTTGGAGCTGGTAGAATGAACCCATCCTCTTCACTGACCCTGTCTACTATAAGGATGATTTTCTCTGTGACCAAACCATCCTCCTTTCCACACCCAGCAATCCCTGCGCCTAAGTCAAGTGCTTTAACCTCCTCACCATTTTGGCCACCTTATACCAAATTCACTCCACTAGGTCCAAGTGGTCCTTGCATTTCAGCCTGTGCCCAACACAGGGGATGGCAGCAGGTGAGTGCTGAGCAGAGCAGCATTGTTGCTCCCCTCATCTCCTGCTTCCACCTCTGCTCACACAGCTCAGGATGCTGCTGACAGCCCTGGGTGCCAAGGCACAGGCAGGGCGGTCACCCCTGCTCTGATGTGGTGACTCCAAAAGCCCCTTTCCCTAGCCCTGCTTTGGTGCTTCTGCTTGCCAGGGGCTGAGGGAGGTGTGGGGAGACAGGGCTGATTGGTCCCAAGTCAGCTGTCCTTCAGGGCTCTGGGGATATGTGTGTCTCCCTGTCCTGCAGCAGTTCAGCCCTTTCTCAGCTGCCTCTGGACAGCCCTTTGAGTCACTCAGCCCACACCTGCTGCCTCTCTTCCTTCCCAACGTCTTTTCCTGCCACCATCTCACCAAAATCCTTCCTAGGGAGCCTTGGGCAGGGACAAGGAAGGAGCAGGTTCAAGAGGACAAGCACTGTCTCTGGGTCTGTGTGGTGTTATGAGCAGCACTAAGCACTGGGCAGTGGTTCTCATGATTTGCTGACCCAGTGCCAAGGGGGAGAATTGGAAAAGCAAGCGAGTGACATACCCTGGTGTCAACATCAGGACATTCTATGAAGGAATGGGAGAAGAAAAAGACAAAACCAAGTGGGTCCAAGGCAATCATGAGGCAGAAGCAGACCAATGCTCAGGCAGTGTCCGAAGAACGACTACTCTGGGAAGACCGTCCACAGATTTATTTCTAAGCATGATATTATGTGTGCCCAGTGTTTTGGTGGAATCACCATCCCTGGAGGGATTTAAAAGACATCTAGTTGTGACACTTGGGGACATGGTTTAGTGTTGAGCTTAGAAGAGCTGGGTTAGTGGTTGGACCCCTTCATCTTAAAGGTCTTGTCATACCTAAGTGATTCTATGATTCTACGTGACCTGGAACAGTCCTTTGGTCACTTGAGGTCATTTGTCCTGCAGAGTGAGCACCAAGGCCAGGAGGGAGGTTTGGGCAATGCTGGATCTGATGGCCAGGGGATCAGCTGGGGAGTCATGCCTTCCTTCCTCACCTGCAAGTTACAGAGTCTCAGGAGAGTTTTGGGAGCATCCAAGGATTTATACTCACAGGCTCAATGACCAAGTGGAAACCAGTGATGAGTGCTGTCCATCAGGGATCAATACAGGGACCAATATTTGTTAATATGTTCACCAGTGACAAAGATAGGGGGACTGAGTGGACACTCAACAAGTTTGTGAATGACACCAAGCTGAGGCTTGAGGAAAGTGTTTCAATTCAGAGGGATTCTTGGCAGATTTGAGAATGGTCCCATGTGAAACTCAGGAACTTCAACAAGGCCAGCACTGGAAGAGAAATAGTTTAGACAGCCCTGCAGAGAAGGAACCAGAAACCATGGAGGTAAAAAAAATTGGACATGAGCCAGAAATGTATTCTTGACATCCAGAAATTCAGTCATGTCTTAGTCTACACAAACAGAAATACAGCCAGCAGGTCAGCTCTCGTTAGACCCCACCTGGAACCCTGAGTGCAGTCAGGAGTCCTCAATTCAAAGCAGGCATGGACCTGTTAGAGCAGCCCAGACAAGGGCTGCAGAAATGATCACAAGGATGTATTGCCCCTAACATGGAGAAAGGCTGAGGCACTTGAGTCTTTTCATGCAGGAGAAGAGCAGGCACTGGGGAGACCTTATTGCAGCATTTCAATGTGTAAAGGGGAGGGATAAGGAAGTTGGAGAGAGACATTACATCAAGGCCTGCAGTGAGTGGACAAGGAGCGACACTTTTAAACTGAAATAGGGTAGATGTAGGTGGGACATCAGGAAGGAATTAATGATGTGGTGGGAAATGGAAAATGGCATATCCCATCATGGGAGGTGTTCAGGGGGAGTTTTTAATGGGACTTTGAGTAACTGATAGAGTGGCACAGCACTGTTAGGAAGGGTTTGCCTGGCACCCGATGGGAAGCTGGAGCCTTGCAGCAACATATTTGCTGTTTGGTGCTTCCAATGCAGTGCTGAGCTGACTGAGAGACAATGAAAAATTGTGGGAAGAAAGTACAAGTTAGCCACTGAACTCGTTACAGAAATTCCATTCTGATGCAAAGAGGCAGAGAAACTCAGAACCCA